TCGAGTGTGCTCCAGAAGAACTACTCGCGGCGCAAAGGCAATTTCAGGAACTACTCGCGGCGCAAAGGCAATTTCCTTGTGTATGATCCAACCTTTTATCATCTTTGTTTTCAGAATCTTGGATCCGGATGTTTTTTCAGGTCTCCGGCGTTTTTTTTCGGAATCCGGCGGAAAATTTTGCCGGATTGAGGTCCGGCACTTTTTTCCGCCCAAAGGAGGATCCAGGTATGGCGCGTTGACTTGCCGGTGCCCCTTTGGTACCTCTACATCTTCGGGTTGACCTTCTGAAGGGGGGCGCCAAGTCGCAGCAGTCGCGAAGCTGCGCGAGAAAACCGATTGAGGGGTCGGGGGCGTTGGCATCCTGCGCTTGGCTTGCACGCTTTCTTGTTTTACAACCCCTCCGTCCGCAGCCGCGTTCGCAGCTTTTCGTGCGCTCTCTGGGCCGCGGCGGGTGGCCATGCCGCCGGCGCAGCAATGTCCGGCAGCGCCAAGCGCCGCTCCCGTCGCCGGTGATCGCATTTTGCTCTTCCAGATGCCGTGGTTGCTTCGTATCCTGGACGGGGAGAAGACGTGCGAAGTGCGTAGCGCGTCTCTGCGTCCGGGTGGCACCTGGCTGGGCAGCGGGGGGCGCCTCTATGCGTGGCTTGAGCGACCGCGTGGAAACAGTGGAGGACTCCCAGACCCGCCTGGCCGAGCATTGCGTCATTGCAGACATTTTACCTTACCGTCGCACTTATCTGACGCCTCTCTTGCGGGTGCAGCCCCTGGACCCGCCGATTCCGTATGTGTCACGGCCGGGCCCGGTGACGTGGGCACGGTTCCAAGCGCCCGCGTCGCCCGAGGTGGCGTGCTGGCGTCCTGCATCCACATTAGATTGCAGACCTTCTGGCCAGATGAAAACAGCTGGATCCGCCTCCCTATCACGTCCGTTCGCGTTCAGGTCTGACCGCGATGGATATTGTTTGCCACCAAGTCTCCGGCTCAAAACTGCGCTGCCCGCCCCTTTTGTGTTTCGGCCTTCCGCTGCCGTGCAACCTCTCCAGCTGTCCGACGAGATCTTGCTGCTTGCATTGCTATACCGCTCTGTCCCCTTCCCTGCGTGCTACAGCTCGCAGCCGTCGCTCGCCGCGCCGGCCCTGGGCAGTTGACCACGCACGAGCTCCTGCGGCGCTGTGTAACGGGTCCTCACGGCGCTCATGCCCGTTTTGTGGGAAGGCCTCCGTGCCGTTGCTGCACTTTGGAGGGCATCACTCGGGCGACTTCGCGCATGCCGTCGCGGCGCGCGCGGCTTGCATACACGCCGGAATGTGGTCCGCACGTTGCCCGGCAACTCTGCCACCAACCTCGCGCGCCGCCCCCGTACACCGCCCGGCTGCCCGATCTTCCGAGGTGATTCGGAGGTCTTCCTCCTCCAGTGGCTGGCCGCGAACACGGACAGCGTCGCCGGCGAGACCATGGCGGCGTTTTTGCGGCGGCACTCGTGGCGCCACCTGTGGCTCAGCGGTCACGGGGAGACGACGCTCGTGCTCGTCTTCGCGGTGGAGAACTGTGAGGGAGCTCTTGTCTTTCCCATCAGCGCGGCGGCCGGTGATTGGCCCGACGTCGCTGCGTTGTGAGTGGTGGCGGCCGTCAGCGTGAAAGGAACGCTCCGCTTTATTGTGACGTTGCGCCGCTCGAGCGTGATCGCCGGTATTAGCACCCAGTCGTTGCGCGCCAGGTGTCATGCCGGGCCACATCCTGCGCGGGACCGGCGCCGGCTTCCAGTCTCCTGGCCGCAAATCCTGCAGGGCATTCATAGTTCTGGCGCCTGTGCGGAAGTCCAAGCGAAAGTGTCGGAGAGAGGGAGACGAACGGACGGGCAGGGAAGGGGCGGAGCGGTCACGGGGACTTTGGCCACCCGAAAGAGCCGGATTGATCATTTCGGGAAAGGTACAAGGCGCGGCAGGAAGATAGAGGTAGGCTAGCATTCTGTGCCTACGGCCACTCCAGTTTGGAGGGGCGCACGAATCGTCGAAGTTTCGCGCGCCCCTCACCGAGGTGCTGCTCTGCTGCTTTCCGTCCCTTTTCGTGGTGCCCCGCCCTTGCGTGATGGGGCAGGAACGCGCAGGACAGGCAGCGACAGGGCGGAAGAGGAAGGAAGGGGGAGGGTGAGGGAGACAGGCGAAAGGGAGCGGGAGGAAGACAGAGGTCGGCGAGCTCTACTACGGCCACTTCAGGGGGGCGCTCGAATCGTCGACGTTTCGCGCGCCTCTCACGGAGGTGCTGCTCTTCTGCTTTCTCTCCCTCCCTCCCTTTTCGTAGCGCCGGTGCCCTTGCGTGATCGCTGGTATTCGGGGTCAGTCGTTGCGTGCCAGATCCTGCCGGGGCGCATCCGGCAGGAAGGGGAGAGCGGGAGGCAGGTGGAGGGAGGCAGAGAGAGGAAAGCAACGGACAGGGAGGAGAGGGCCAGGAGGAAAAAGGCTACGAGGCTAGGACAGCCCTATGGCAGGCGAGGCATTGGCCGAGGATAGCCCCATGGATAGCGCTAGGCCTAGGTCTAGGATAGGCCCATGGATAGCGCTAGGCATAGGCCTAAAATAGACCTATGGAATAGCCTAGGCATAGGCCTATGGATAGCCTAGGCATAGGCCTAGGGTAGGCCTATGGATAGCCTAGGCATAGGCCTAGGATAGGCCTATGGATAGCCTAGGCATAGGCCTATGGATAGCCTAGGCATAGGCCTAGGATAGGCTTATGCCTAGGGTAGGCATGGGCCTAGGATAGGCCTATGCCTAGGGTAGGCCTATGCCTAGGCTAGGCGCCGGGAGTTCTATGCCGCCAACATGGGAACCTCTCCATTCTTCAGCTTACATTTTTTAAGAAAATGCAAGTCACATGTATTCAGGCTGGGAGATATGTGCACTGAATGCATGAAAGAAAACACAATGTAAGCTGATGATGTGAAGCAGATGAAAAGCCTGCCGCTTGTGAGAATCTGCTACTGCATTTTGCTGCTGGCTTCTTTCTTTATATCACGCTTCCTTCTCAGCTACCGTTCGATCGTAGGGGCCTTGCATGGACACTTTATTGATTGTTTTTCCCATATGTATCGTTACTTCTGTAGTCTTCATACTTTGCCTTTCAATGTCTAGGTACATACCACCGGTTTACGGGCGTCCAAAAATGTAGCTTACATTTTTTTGGGTTCCATTTTCTTACCGCCATTCTGTGTTTTCCGCGTTTTTCCTCTTCTCCCTTCTCTTCCCGTTCTTTTCTGAATGTCTTTCCTTCTTCCTGGATACCAATGGGCCCTAGGACCATTACCCGTTTCCTGAGGCCTGAGGGAGCTGCTCGTGAGAATCTGCTACTGCATTTTGCTGCTGGCTTCTTTCTTTATATCACGCTTCCTTCTCAGCTACCATTCGATCGTAGGGGCCTTGCATGGACACTTTATTGACTGTTTTTCCCATATGCGTCGTTACTTCTGTAGTTTTCATACGTTGCCTTTCAATTTCTAGGTGCATACCACCGGTCTAGGGGCATCCAAAAATGTAGCTTACATTTTTGGAGGCTACCATCTTTGATATGATTCGCACAGATTCAAACAATCACGATAAGCGTGAATTATGCTTGGATACATGTGTGCATATCATCTTTTACTTTTTTACTGCTTCTCTTCTACTACTGGAGAATGAATCCACGGACACGTGCCTGTTCTTCTATCTCTCTCCTTCTCAAAGTTACATATGATCACCCCCCCTTCAAATTATAGGATTTGAAGTGGGGGCCTCAGAAAATGTATGTTACATTTTGGCGCCCCCTCCCCCCCCGCCTGTTTTTTGGTACCGTTGCATGCTTATTGTCTCAGTCATTCCTGGGAATGTTATGAATCTTACTTGGATATTCTCCCTTACAACGAACAAAGACAAGCGCAACGCAACAAAGGCGCTAAATGGACGCAATGAGGTGCAAAATGGACGCAATAAACCGAAAAACAGGAAAGCCGCTGAAGATAAGAAAACCTAGTTCAGTCGATCAGGCCGATGGAGCCGATGGGGCCGATGGGGATAATGGGGCCGATACGGCCGATGAAGCCGCTGAAGCCGCTGCAGCCGATGGGGCCGTTGGGCCCGATGGGGCCGATGAAGCCGATGGGGCCGATGGGGCCGATGGAGCCGATGAAGCCGATGGGGCCGATGGGGCCGATGGGGCCGATGAAGCCGATGGGGCCGATGCGGCCGATGGAGCCGATGAAGCCGATGGGGCCGATGGGGCCGATAGAGCCGATGAAGCCGATGAAGCCGATGGGGCAGATGGGGCCGATGAGGCCGATAGAGCCGATGAAGCCGACGAAGCCGATGGGGCCAAGGGGGCTGATGGGGCCGATGAAGCTCTGACAGTCACATAAATGCCTACTGTCTTCAAGGAGGCATCGGCAAACAATTACCTTCGGTCATGGAGCCACAGGTGCATCTCAATCCATCTTTGGAAATGAACAGGTTACAGCCGCAAAATGGACGCCAAGCTTCGATGGCATGGGGGACCCCCCCTCAACGTAATATCGATTTTTTGCCTGGAAAGGTCAGCTTACATTTTTACACCCCCCAAAAATGTAAGTTACACATTAAGAGGTCCCCCCGCTGCAAAGGGGCGGTGATCCTCAACTACTACAATTCCTTTTAGACAAACGCCTGACGGCTTTGTTTTCGTGTCTCCGGGAAGCGAAAGCTTCGTAGCGCAAGGGCCCCTTGCAAGAGGATCACCGTACAGTGATTGAACAGTTTTTAGGTATGTAAAGATTGGGGGCGTCCCATTACTTGGGAACGGGACATGCCCAATTCAATACAGTACCCAAAGTATAGACAACATTAGAGCATAAAATAAGCTCACGTTAGTTACTATACAGTACACTACACTAAAAGCCGTTTTTGCGGTATCGATTGTTCATGATTTTGAGGAGTGGTGCATGAAACAGGATCATGTATTTGCTCAGTCGCCTTCCTCATTGAAGTGATACCAAGGACATGGCAATTCTCAACCTTGGATGCTCCGATTCCGAGAAGCCTGCCCCGACTGGACCGAGTTGCCCAACACCACCGGCCCATGGGCAACAGCCTTCCACACGGCCACAGGTGGGGCACGGATGAAAGCCAACAGCAGGGCGTCTCAAGAGGGAAGGGCCGATCACGGCTACCTTGCCAGTAGGGGAAAAATATGTTGATATCAATAAATACATTTATATATATATATATAAATATATATATATAACTATAACCATATATGACTGCTATGAGGGGAACATGATCGCCGATATTTGACATCACTTAAAAAGCCTTCAAGAGCCAGCTTGGTGAATGATTGAGCAATCCGGCAGTGCCGTTGGGCAAGGAAACTGAGGTTTGTGAAAGACAAGTGCGTACAGGAAGTAGATTTCTGGAGAAAAAGGATGCTTTTGGAGACAAGTAGAGAGTAGACTCAGAGTAATCACCAAGCTCAAAATATATGAGCTGCAGTCAAAACATGCGAGGACCACTTTCGTAAAGAGGGGTAGTTTTGTGCGCAAAACCCTGCAAAAGGATCAGGTCCACCTCAAAACCGATAACCTCAGCGCTGTATATGATCATAAGTCTGCAACGAACTCAAAACACTGTAAAACGACAAGACCCAACTCAAAACCGATGACATCCATTTTTTCGTTGAAGAAGAGCAAGGAGTTTTGACCGTCCCTCATATGGGGGTTCTTGCTTCAATTGGTGTTTGCATCGGGTTTGGACTACACTCCAAATATATATATATATATATGTACAATTGTTCCTCCACTGCGGATGGAGGCCTTGAAGACGGCAAACGTGTTGCGATTGTGGGTGGGCTTGGAGATGGCAGCTCACACGATGGTGTTCCTTGGTTTGCCTTGCGTGTTCTGCAAAATGACACAGGGATGAGGCTTGAATGGCACCAAATAAATCCAGTAAGAGCAGTCAAGGCAACTGTATAATCATGTGTGTTATACCTGTCCAAACTTCGTTGACAATCGCATGTCTTCATGAAACGGAGTGGGAGTGGTATCAAAATGATAGCACTCCAATCCACTGCGGCAACACACTGCAACAATGATATTACAACTGATCGTATACATGATTCTGTCATTTGGAAGACGATGGTGACCATATGGTGAGACCATGGTGGCCCGACAAGAACACCAGCGACTCTTGCTCCGGGAGTGCTCCTGTGCGGCAGCTTGGACCGAGGTTTGGACCTTCCACGCCGACACCGGTCGTTGGACTCACTGCTCCGGTGGCCCGGCGCCCGCGGGGCACGTGGCGGCGCTGGATGCGGACGGGCAGCGGCTGCTGCTGAGCTTTGGGGTCCGGCGCTCACCGTGGCATGGCGAGAGGATCAGATTGATCAGATCCAGTGAAAGAAAGGCATTCCCCTGTTCCTGACATATATCACTAGTGGTCTTCCTTCACGGACCCGTCCTTTTGCATACCTTTGCCTAAAAGTAGTCAGCGGCCGCGTCTTGAAACATGACCGATGCCAATGGCCGAACGTGCACCGGCTGGTCCGGAGTCTGAATCTGAGGGATTCTTTGAATGGCGACAGCTTCTTGGAGACGATGAATGTCTTTGACCTCAGGATGAACCGCTGGGACGACCTTTGGAAGGAGCGAGCGCGGTCAAAAAGCGAGCGCGGAAATCTCGCGCTGGTGTGACTTCGAACAAGACTTCAACAATAGAGTGGAAGCCTTGAGCTTGATTTTTTGTGAGTCGTGAGTGGGATGCTTTGAGTGTGAGAAGCGCAAGTGGCACGGGCCAGATATGTATGTATATATATTATACAGTATATGTATAGTCTATATATGTTTTTCTTCCTTACAGGAAAGCCCAGGAAGGCACCAGGCAATCAGCATGGTAAAAGGAAATTCGAGATGTCCGAACTCGCAGCTCGCCAAACGCATGTGGGATGGCAACATGGCGACCACCGCCGTCAGCCTTTTGGGAATACTTTCTTTGCCAGACGCCTCGTTGGTGGGAACCAAACATGTCTGAGAAACGGCGGAAACAAGACCAACCCAAATTGGATCTATCATGGTCTATCGATCATGATCTATCTCGTTGGGACCCTTTTGAAACCACAGCACCACCAGTACCGGGCAGTTTATAGTGTCTAGCATCAATAGCCATTTTTGGGGGTGATCCCTTGCAGAAGGCGATTGTTCATGTTCGATGTCAAGGTCATGGTTTTTAGGGTGTAAGCGGCGTCGTGGAATTCACAACCACGAATCCCATGGTGCAGTGTGTGGGTGTGTGTCAAACTCCGTCTCTAGGAGTCCTCACCAAGTTTTTAACCGTGGGGGGACAGCGTTTCACTGGGACTGTGTCCAATGAAGCTACCAGTGAAATGGGATTTCCAGCTTGGCCAGCTGGATGTACCTGCGTCAATTTTTAAGCTTTGGTAAAGTGCTAGCGAATATGTTAAACAGTTCTGTTCTTCGGACCCTTTCGCCTCACAGTTTTTGATAGTTTTTGCAGTAAAGTGCTAATGCAGTAACTAACTTGTGGTTCTAAGTAGAGCTTAAGCTGTCTCCTTCCGTGTTTTGCAGTAAAGTGCCAATGCAGTAACTAGCTTCCGGGAAAGCACTTTCTGAAACTTATGCTCATTCATTTGGGCTATGAATCTAAGCGTGACCAGCTGCATCTTCCCACTTGGGTGTGCAGTGCGATCCCCGCAAGAGGCGCCGTACTCATTGTTGAAAATTGCTGAAGAGCCGATATGCGCCGTGAGCCATTTCCTGATTCATTGTTCACCTTCAGGATCACCTGAATCAAGACCGCCGAGTTTACGGTGAATTCTCCTGAAACAACTTGACCGTGCAGTTTTTGATGGCCATGTGTGCATCACACACGCACACCCGCACCTTTTTCCCTCTTGCATTTTTTCTTCGTTTGTTAGGTGTTTCTTCAAGACTGTTAGGTTGCTCTTCAGGCTTGCTTAGTCGCTCCAACACTTCACACACAACCCTATACTGCCCTATACCCCTCGTTCTTTCTCTCCTGCCCTTTGTTTCTTTTTCTAGGCCCGACTCTTCTCAAGAGGCTGTTTAGGTGCGTAACCAGGTGTTTTTCAGTCAAGTGACAGCCAGCTTCCGGTAGAGCACCCTGTCTCTGTGAACCTGAGTAATGCTTAAGCTGTCCAATACGTTGTTTCTTCACTAAAGGGCTAATGCTTCCACAGGTAACCTTGTTGTGAACCTAAGTACGGCTTAAGCTGTCCAATGCTTTGTTTCTGCACTATAGCAAGGGCGCGCCGCTTTGCGGCCCATTGTGTGTGTGTGCGTCAAGCTCTGTCTCTAGGAGTCCTCACCAATTTTTAAACCGCAGGGGGCACAGCGTTTCACTGGGACTGTGTCCATTGGCCAGCTGGATGTACCTGCGTCAATTTTTAAGCTTTGGTAAAGTGCTAGCGAATATGTTAAACAGTTCTGTTCTTCGGACCCTTTCGCCTCACAGTTTTTGATAGTTTTTGCAGTAAAGTGCTAATGCAGTAACTAACTTGTGGTTCTAAGTAGAGCTTAAGCTGTCTCCTTCCGTGTTTTGCAGTAAAGTGCCAATGCAGTATCTAGCTTCCGGGAACCCACTTCCTAAAACTTATGCCCATTCATTTGAGCTATGAACCTAAGTGTGTGTGAGTGTCTCGTTGGTGGCCGGGGCAGGACAAGGTGCAAGTGAACAAACCTTGTGCACGGCGGAATCCGGCTGGTGCGAGCATCGGTCGATACTTCATCATCTCGGGTGGCTACAGCGACTTGATTCCTCACTTGGGCAGGGGGGCGGACAATGCCTGTATCCAGGAATCAATTGATACCCCACCAATCCCCACTATGTGAGTGCCAAACACATATCTACAATATCTCTATTGTTTTACTACATAACATGCAGCATTTAAGCCCAACATTGGTTTCGCCCAGGTGGTTGTCAATGTGCTGGGTCAGTTCGTTATCTTGTATGACTTGGGGCCACAATTTTGTGAGCCAACAACCCCATTGCCAAACAGAAAGTGAAAAAACGGAGCTAATATACAATAGAACGCAGAGTGCCCAGTTGGTCTGCGCCTGTTATTTGCAAATTAAAACTAATACTTTACAAACATCTGAGGGTTTGCTGATTTGTAACTCCCCGGGCCCCATGTAGGAAACTCTTCTTTTCTGTTTCGGTGAAGAGTTCTTCTCCGCTTGCACAGGTGAAGAAGACTTTTCCACGTTGAACGATACCTGGGCCTTTGACATGCGACGGGGCACCTGGAAGTTGCTGGACCTGAACCACGCGCCTCCGGTCGAAGGGCACAAGGCGATCGCCAGTGGTTTGGAGACTTGGCAACTTTTGGGAGCTAATGTATATAGACTCTTGATGAATAAAGCCACCCTATATATATATATATATACTGTATATATTTGTTATTTGTTTATGTTTTTTTAATACATATTTTTCCATATGAGTTTTCCTCATCAACAGTCTACATTATATGTTTTATTGTCATTTTTTGAGCTCTTGCCTTCAGGGTCGGCAAGGTATCATAAACTGTTACTCCTCCTTTATGTTCTGCAAGTTTCGTCGTGTATTTCTGAAGTTGAAGTGTTTGTCTTTCTGCAACCATCATTTGCCGGCGTGTTCCATGGTGTTCCACTGGATTCACCATGTCATCTTTGGGGGTCTCCTCTTTAGTTCCCGGAGACTGGTCCATCCGCCGAACGAACCAGGACCTTTTCACCTTTGGTGGCCACCGGCTGCGACACTTCGAAGGGCCACACGTGTCTGTGCACAAGCTGGCCTTATGTCAAGGTAGGGCAAATAGTTTTAGGGTAACAACTGTAACAACTTGGGACACCCCTTTTGCTTGATAGCTGGGACACCTCTTCTACCTTCTTCTCTTTGACTTAGGGTAAGTGGTGGCAGAAGACATCAGACCCATGAAACGCATGGAGAGGTCACCACCCTGAGACAGACTTTTCACTCTTTTGTATCAGCAGGTGGCCCACTGCTTCCTCCATCGGCAGCGGGGTGCTTCCTTACAACAAGAAGAGCAACAACGATAATACTATACTAATAATATATATATACATTTATATTGTTTGATTATATACACATGTATGCAACCTTGTGTAGCCTGCCAATCACCATGAAACATGTCCATCCGCTCAAACAAACATGCCAGCACAGGCCCCGACGGAGAAGGCCCTGGGCCGACCAGCTCTCTTTGTTCCAAGCTTTTCGATGATGGGCACAGCGATGGCAGCCTGATCACTGACATGTCGTCATCAGGTGAAAGCGGGTGAAAGCGGCAATTCACTGAGAATGCCATTCACTTGGTTCTCCAAACGTCGATGGGATTTCAGGGTATGTCCAAAAGTAGCAAGGCCCCCAACCAATGCGTGTTTGATTTCCCTTTCTACCAGTGCTTTGCGAAAGCCTCCCAATTTTGAGGCCACACCCTTCCAGTCAGTGACCTTGCCGCTTGCGACCTTGTCGCCGGATGTTATTCCTTATAGTACTCCTCCGAACACATAAAAATCGACTGGGCAAAGGTCCCAGCGGGACGACCATCGTCCAAGCTCGTCCATGCGACCTCTGGGCCGAAGAGCGGGGCTGAGACCAAAAGCGCGATAACGGACGAAGAGGAAGAGCAAATGGACGAAATGCAATGGTGAAAGAAACATGAATTGCCATGTAGTTGGGGCTTAGTGCTGTGGAATCTCTTTTGAAGGAGGATGACGATAACTAAGCTGGGGGATGAACCTTTTTCCAGCCGAGGGGGACCTTGCTAGCACAGGTGAAGACATAGATCTGGTGCCTGCCTAAGAACACGAGAGAGAGAGAGAGAGATGGGTCGATAAGTTTAAAAAAATGGGTCGATGGGTCGCTCATTGAATGAATACTATAGATGATACATATAACTAGTGACTGTCCGTTGGCGTTGCTGTTTAAACCATTTGGGCTTCTGGATGGGTGCCACGGCCACCGAGTCTGATCGCTTAGAAGCTTCGAAGGACTACCGCACCTGGGCGCGGGAGCTTGGCTGGTCCCGAGCTGCCGCCCAAGGAAGACACCGATTCACCCAGAATCCCAACATCCCAACGAATCCCATCCCAGGATTCACCGTACTATGTGATTTCCATTGGGGATATATACTGGTATCCCAACATCTGCCTTTGAGAGAGTGATCTCATGGTGTCAAACACGCGCGGCGTCGGCGGACCAACCACGTCGCCGGCGTCGGACCACAAACGGCCAGTTCGGACCGGGCACCGGGTCCAGTATGTGGATCCGGCAGTCCAAGGGAGTGGACGAGACCGAAGCGTAGATGGGAAAGCATCTATGGCGCTTTGCTGGCCTTGCCAGTGTTAAACAAACATAGGGACATAGGGACGGACTAGTGCATGACTCTGCTCACTTCGACGTGCCGTCATTTCCAGCAAGAGAAACCTGAGGTGACTAGCGTCGACATCGATCTTCAGTCCGTGACTCAGCGCTGTGCGGCCTCAAACATATCCACCACGACGCGCGCGTGCGCTCATGCACTGCACCTTGAGGCCGGGTGAGGCGCGGGGGGACTTGATGAGAGGGACCTGGGCAGCTGATCCCAGGACATTCCCATGAGGACTGGATGTAGGGAACAAGATGCTCCTGGCCACGCTTGATTGGATTTGTTCCAGGGTGAAAGCACTCGAAAATGGCACGAAATTGCTCCGTGCTTCCATCCCCAAGCCACCGGCAACACCACGAGCACGATCGAATGCTTTCCCCGATCACAAGCTGGAGCGACTGCATGATATGATCCGTTGGTCAGGCAGCGCCAAACTTCACGGAGGTTTGGGTTGAGCTCCAAAATCTCCACAAGTCGGGCAGACCTAGTCGACCGCCCGACGAGAAAGACGCCGAAGCCCGGGGGCTCTTTTTCCATGGGAAGAAGGGCTTTGGAGGATTGGCCAAGACATTGGGGGTCGGGGCACGTGAGGGGTCTCAATGTTTTACATTTTCGAAGCTTCCAACATGGGCCTGTTGGTGGATGTTGGGGGTGATGAATATTCAGAATATATAGAACATACCAGCAGCACCGTCCAACAGGTCACCACCTGCGACTTTTAAGCCTGCAAAAGCCTTCAGGGGAGACCTTTTGGAAGGTCCTTGTATAGAGAGAATCAGTGAGACGCATGAGAAAGTGCAGATGAGCACCACGTGGTGTGGCAGTGTTGTTCCCCCCTAGAAACCTCGTTGATCGCCGGGTCGTATGACGGCATCCTTTCGATACTTGACGGACGGGTCGTATGACAGGGGACCAGCCGCGTGACACGGTGGGGAAACTCCCGAGGCGCCAGAAGGTTTCCAAAGGCACGGCCACAACGGACCGTTGGACTGGGAACGAGTTCGTCCTGCGATTTGGCTGTGCCGAATTCGGAGTGATGAGTGATGGTTTAGCAGGAGTGCTACTGAGAGGAGGGATCCATGCCCTGCTTCAGACTTGCCTTGATCGAATAATGTTTGCCATAGATTACCATTGTGCCATTTTGTGCCGCATGCCCAGAGTTTCATTTCGGAGTACCACTTACAGTACTACCTCGACCACGACCTGATATGATATCCATGTAATGCCGAAGCTCTCACGAAGGTTCCAAAGCCTCTACAGTTTGTTTGGATTGGATTGGACTGGAATTTGGGGAGCCCGTGGTAGTGCCATACACTCAAGATTCCACATAATCCATCAGCCTGCGACCAGAAGAACCTGACTGGAAGTGGTTGGCATCTCAGTGCGTTTTTGCTGGAGCAGCTTGGGAGGGCAGCATGGGGAGGGCCTTGTTCTCTCCAATCCGAGCACTTCTTCGTCCGCAGCTTTCAGACTGCGTCATCTCGAAAACGGGTCCACCGGCCAGCGGCACAGACCGGCGCCCGATCCACTCAAATCTGTTTGGGATTGGCAAACATCACGGGCTCACACTGGATCGACATGGCTCGCTGGTTTCGTTTCGGATCTGGGCGTTCAGCATCCGCGCTCGCTGGATGCTTTCCAGTACAGCCATCCCATATCACCGTTCTTGGGCGTTCATGCCTTCGACACCCATGTTCGTCGAAACGAAACACCGGACCCATCGATCGGTCACCGCCCGTGGGGATCAACACCCACCGCCGGGCGCGCTGTGGGGTCGATGAGGTCGGAGCCTTCGGACTGGAGACACTGGGGCCGCTGGAGCCGCTGGAAGGAGGACCCACGGAGTGGCCCACGGAGTGGCGCAGGGTTGTGGCAGGGGGCGAGGCCCCGTGAGGTGTGATGTTGAAGGCTTTTGGTATCTTTTTGGTCCTATTTTTCAGTTGGGATCCTGAAGGGGCGAAAGAGAGCCAAGATGAAAGACATTTTTGGGATCGACCTGTGCGATTCACCAGGTTTGGAAGTTGGAGCATTGCATGGGAAACTGGGAAGGTTTTGTGCTAAGAAGCACTTCGGCCACCGGTGAGCGGGTGGTGAGAGAGGCCTCTCATGAAAAGCCCTTCAAAGCTACAACTGCATGCCTGCATGCTAACATATTTGCTAACTACAGCCCTTCAACATGGCACTGGGGGCATTAAAAAAAGCACCAGCAGAGGCTCAAAGAGTCGCCAGTGAAACGCCGGCGATGAGACTTCTTGTCCAAGAAGGTCGGTCGATTCCATACAGGTTTTCCCAGGGCGGTCCGGTTTCGCCCCTCTCGTTGAAAAGAACGGATATGTATATATACCTGGAGCCTCAGTGACTTCTATTTTGGACCACCAACCACCTAGAATGTGGTCTTTTCCTATCACAACAGGGGCCACATGGGCCAGAGGTATATATTTATAAATTGAAAAGGGGGGTTGCGGCGCATGCTGTGTTTTTCGACCCGACTTGAGGTGACGTGACGGGGCACGCCTCCCATTTAGTAACTCCCATTCGCCGTCGGGTGGCCAATGTCGGTGGCCTGTCGCGTTCCCAAAGTCGAAAGGACTGGGACGGCGAGCACAAGGAGTGCAATTGGGCTGTTTTGTTGGCTGAAGGTCTTCAGGGTGAACAGCGGCCTTTTCAAAGGGTCATCACATCATGTCATCACGGATCGTTTGGATCCTCAAGTGCTTGCACACTCTCACAATATCTCCTTGACATTCCTTGACTGTTTGTTGGTCCTGAAGCCAGTTTGTGCTTACCTAGCTGGAGCATGCTGGAGCTGCGGCAAGGGTTGGGCGTTGCTTGTGGACGTAACCCTGATGGTTTCAGACTCAGACCTCTGCCTGCGGGGCTGAAACCTCGTCCATTCTGTTCGGAGCACGTGCTCCCACGGTCCCACACCATGTCATTGGCACTGACTCAAAGGACTTCAGAAGGAGAACTTGAGAACAAATCATCTCGTCGGTGTCCCAACGGTCAGAAACATCCAATATCCATCAGTAGAACAACCACTTCAGCTGCAAAGGTCGTGTCTTTTTTGGGAGAACCCGTGGGAGAGATGTACCTCTTCACCTGCTTTGAGACAGAACATCTTCAGAATGGAACCACGTGCCGCCAGCGGAACCACCTGCCGCACAGTATGCCGCCAGAAAGCTGCGGGAAGCCGATCCGGAAGAGCCCACCGGTCCAGGGGTAAGACACCAGTGACCCCGGTGCAGCGGTGCTTTGGTTTGGTCCTGGTTGGCCAAACCTGGCCTGCAAGCCCCAGAAGAGAATGGCGGCCCTTATGCCATATATACATATATAATACTTACTACTGTATAAATGGGTCAGTTATAGGGTCTTTGGACCGGAGCCACCGCGCATGTTCCACCTCGCCTAGCCATTCCAAATGAAAGCCACGCCTAGCTGCCTAGCTTCGCTTCGCTCAGCAAAGCTGTCCGCAGGAGGCTCGTATCGTCCTGGCACCAGCCAAGAGCCCTCCCGATCCTCCTGTTTTGAGGGAGGTGAGACGGGCTTCTCCCCTGGCGTTCCTGGGCAGCAGGGCTCCAATAAAACCAGCGTTGTCCTCCATGGCTGATTTTTGTCGGTTTTGGTGTGCTACATGATGGCCATGATTGGATTTAAAGTTGTCTGAACACACATCACAGAACCCCTGGCCCAACTTTGCAACTAGCTGCTTGACTGACACTTCTGACCAGTCAATGCAACATCCATGATCTTCAGGGCCTTATCCTTATCCCTGACAGGTAGCTAGCAGGCGCCTTATTTAAAAGAACAAGACAAAACAACATTCACACTTGTATGATAGGGGTTGGAAGACTTCCAATTGTGCAATCTGCGTTGAACTCCATTCCCTCAGCTTGGTCGCTTCAAGGCTGAAACCGGCGCCTCGGGGCGATCCCTTGGCCGACTTCGCTGCGGAGGAAGCGCTGAAGTATGCCGACATGAGACAGATTTCTGGAAAAAAACGACACATTTAAGAAAAACATGAAGATTCAAACAGATTCATTCAGATTTCAGAAATGACATGATCATGTAAGCAGAAATAATTTGGGAATCGTGGCCACTGACGCCAGGCCAGCATCACATATTTAAGAGAGAGGAATGCTTCGGACCCGCAGAGACGGCGCGGTGCTTCAACTGAACCACATCGGCGGGGTGCTCAGATCAGGTCAAAAAGATTCAAAAAGGGATGCCATCCACTTCGTGTCAACTTACATGCTGCCCATGCTGCTCCGATGATTAGTACTCGTAGCATGGAACTGGCGAATCTCCTGTAGCATTGGGGAAGAACACGTCTCATAAAAGGCTCTTTGATGAGGACTTCTTCAGGTGCCCCTGTCTTCACGTGAGACCATGAGACCGGTCCAACTCACCAAACGCACCACGCTGGTAGTGGGGAGGTTTGGTGAGCGTTTTTTCGCTGTCAGAACAAACCATGTGTAGCCTCGCAAAGCCTATGGCGTTCATGGACATTCATGGATGTTGATTAATGATAGACAAATAGTAAGAACATGTAAGAAGAATTGGATGTTCACTTAGTTTTTAGTTTTGAGATGCTCATGGATGTTCATGTCATGGCCCTCTGGTGTTCATGGTTGAACATGTCAAAACGGTCGAACCATTGCGGCCCTGATGTCTCATGGCCGAAACGCCCCCAGGCTCAGGCACCATCGGAGGCCAGAAAAACCGCGGGGTGGGGCAGCCCAGTGGAGCGGCACCGCCAACGACGTTGCACCGTGGAAATGGGCGAAGCAACGTTGGATGGAAACAGTTTTCGATGTTTAGCTCAGATCTGAGTGCTTGAGTGCTTGAGCCAGATCTGAGAGGTGAAAGGGAATCCCAAACTAATTACTGTACTGGATCAATGGCCCCTTTTTGCACACTGGCACTGGCACCTGTCCTAGTGCCGTAGCTTCTGGCATCTTCTGGCCAGTTGATCAAATAGAGGGTGAGCTCATGGATACCCGTTAAATTTGCTGTAGAATTCACCGTGGAAACTCAATGTTTTTGATGGAAAGAGTCGGCATCCAGGGGCATCCAGGGATTGTTTCCCGCTTTCACGTGGAATCCAGCAATTTGTTCATATTGTTCTTGACATTTCTTGACCAACATGAGGGGCCCAGATCCCAGTTGATCCCACCTAGTTAGTTCTGAACGATCACGGGAACCTGCGCTGATCCGGCCGAAATGGCTCGACTGGAAAGCGAGACCACCCCGGGCGGAGCGCGTTCCCCGTCGAGCTTCGCATGCGGAGATAGGGCCGACCGCGTTGGACACGACGCACGCGGAGCAGACGCCGGCCATCGGCCATGACGTATCGTGCCACGGTCATTGGGCTCCTCGGATGGGAATCTGCCAGACGAGAGCCTAGTCACTTAGTCCGCTCACTGAAAAAGGCCCGGTAGGATAGATTATACCTAATAAGAAACTATGAACACTGCGACGTATCGTGTTCAAGTTCTTCTGGCGATCCTGTGCGATTCTCATTGGGCGCCCAAAGGTGCTTGGGTAGACGTGGTGCCGTTCTGCTTGACCCAGGTATGATCATGATTTGCTGGGCCCTGTGTGGTTCCAAATCCGCGTGGTGAGTAGCGGTCCTGCGGCGCAAGTTCACTTCACTTGGCATCGCTTCAATGCCTTCAAACACCTGGCGGAATACTTGCGGCACCGCTGCCCTGACTTGCCTAGCCTACAGCCTCGAGGCGCACCGGTGGACAGGGAACATGAAGGGCCTTGAGTTGCCAAGCTTCGTGAATTGCCCATTAAATATATCGGGCCATGTTCCACCAGACCTTTTCAGATCACAGCCGCATCCAGAGACCGAAGAACGCTGCCTTCTGGGTGTCCAGTGCACGAGCTCGCGGCTCGTGCAAGCTGCCTCTCTCCCAGCTGCGGAAACCCGTTCGGGGGACCTCCGCCCACCGGTGCCAGGTCATCTATGGGAGAGGGCCGTGAAGGTGGTGAACTACAGCGTTTTTCTGAAAGAGCGGCAGCAAAGCTTGACCGCCTTCCTGCAGGCCGTCCTGGTGGCTGATCCTACCGTGGAGGCGCGAAAAAAACACTTGAAGACCCAGCTTTTGGCCTTCAAAAGGCTCGTGCCATGGAGAATGTCCAAACTGGTTTGTATAATTAGGCCAAATGTTTCCTTGAGGCTCTTTCTTGTTGAGTCCAGCATTTATCCCAGAGAGGCCCTGTCTAGATGGTGAGTGTGCTCATTGGTGGGGGTTGCTCACCCATTCCGAGTCACTTAGCATCACCTGGCCCTAGTTATTCTGGTTTCATCATACCTAATGGTTCATCATGGTTCATCCATTCTCCTTGTTAACCAAGGTTCCCCCGTTGCCAGGCTGGCCCATCATCCAAATCGATCGATTGCACGGTCTTTTGGTTTTGGGTTCCTTTCTTTGTTTTGTTTACATTTGATGTAGGATGTCCTTCTTCGCGAGTTCCTGCATCTTCCAAGTGACGGGGCCTATCCCAGGACGGGACGGGTGGGCTGATGAGGTGGTACAGTAAGCCTTAGCATGGACATGCGACTCCACTTTTAACGGTCGCTACCCCAAGACGTATCTATGATGTTTTCCCTCATGGGCCCTGGGGCAATATTCAAGTGTAGGAACACCGAGCAATGATAAAGGTTTTAAACGTTCTAAAGCCTCGCACTAAACATCACTAAACCAACTTTAGCGCTGCAACCCGGCATCCCTTGCCCCAAAAGTTACCTTGGAAGATGGCCATGGCCACTTCTGTGAGCGAAGGCCGCTTGCTTTCAAAGTGGTAAACCTATCAAGGTGTTTAAAGAGTGTGGCCTATTTCTATTGGTGCCCCAATATGAATCTATAGTCTATAGGAGCATGCAAACACCGCATCGAGCTTAATGCATTCAAGAATCTACACTGGTGGCATTTCCATGTCGGTACAACTCTGAAATCTACGCATGACGTGCCCAAATTGATTCATCTCTTTCGATGTGTGGAATTTGGCAGAGAGTCAAGAAACGGGATTTTGATGTGCCTAGCTACAGCTAACGTGACTTGGCGTCCGCTTGCTTGTACCTGCCATTTTATGCCTCGTTACGACCGGAGGACGGAGGATGAACTTCGGAATGTGGACGATGAATGCGACCGTCCAAGGTCATGTTCTAGCATGGCAGCTTGGTGCAGGTACACCCTATGCTTTTGACTTCAACTGCTGTTTGATTTTGCCCGAAACGCTGAAAGTCATTTGTTTGCCAGCAGCCGCTGAAAGGAGTTTGATACACAAAAGAAGCACTCATTGGCCGCCTTGGCATGCCATGGGGGGGGGCCCGCCACTTTTGCTTAGGATAAGTTCATGGAGTCACATCGAGACAGACAGAGATGCTCCACAGGAGCCGACGCTTTTCGTCGAGCCAGCTCGAAACTGTGGCCCATCATGTTGAAGCATAGGGAGGATAGGACCGGTGTTAGTTTTTGCCAGGTCATTTTCCTAGCAATCAGATCATATTTCAGACTATTTAAGACTTCCTGCCAGGAAGGTTCAACATGCCTTGAGGAGACTTTGGTGTCAGGCTCGAGCAGGAGGCTAGCTCCTGTGCCTTGGAATGCAACTGACCTTTCAAACATCAAGGTAGGAGGCCTCCAAGAGCCCGAGAATTATTTGACGTGAAGAATCCCACGGCCTGGGTTGCTTGGGTTCATTTGGCTCTCCCTTTTGGCTATCCAGCAACCATGTACGCTGGATAGCTCGGTTTCAGACTGCTCAGGTCGTAAGCGTTGCGCATCCTTGCCTTTGGTGAGCCTTAAGGATGAGGACCACATGCCTCTTTCACCCCTGTGCCGCCACCCTGGTCACTACGCCAGTCACTACCCATGTCGCGCGTACTTGAGTCATGGCAAGTCATGTCCCAATGAATGTGGAGAGAGCCACAAATCTGGCCGGAGTCAGCTCGGAGTTGGCCTTGCACCGTGCAGGAACCATTGGCGGAGACAGAGGATCAGCGCTTCAGCGACCACGCAGTCAGCCAGAGGCATTCTGCGTGTGAGACCTGTCCCCCACGGGAACTGCACTTGCTGTTCAAGAGGATAATATACACATGTCGGTGTCACCCCATGATTCAATGATGTCTATCTCCAGAGCTTCAAGCAGTTGGCTTCACAGAGATCCAGTTTCGTCCATCTTCTCACCTCTCAATCCATCCCAATCCGCAGTTTGACCGTTTTCCATAGCAAGGAGAAGGACACATGTGCACTCCAAACCCTCATTGGACCCGAACCAAACCGTCCGCTTCACCGGACGGGGTCGCCTTGAAACATCCCATCCCACCGGACCGGTGAGACCCGGAGGAGGCTCCACTCCAATTTGGGTTCAAGAGCCTGCTAAGGTCGCAATATGAGTCTAAGGCAGACATGGCAAAATCAGTCAACTGAGCTCATATCCCAATCCGTCAAGGTAATTTGAGCCATGGCGAAGAGAATTTCAGCACTGCAGCCGAGTGGTGAAATCCTTGCTCTGGAAGTCACGCCAGAGATGACAGGCAAGGAGCTCAAGCAGCAGATCAAGGAGGGACAGGTATTGGACGAGCTCACTCGCAGCACTACGGGTGTGGAGATCATTGTCGGAGACGACCACTTGCTGGACGACTATGCAAAGGTATCGGACGCTGGAATCGCTGAAGATGCTGTTGTGAGTGTTGTCTTCAAGCCAAATGTCGTGATATGCTCCAACCAAGATGCCATCGCCAGTCTTAGTGGCATCATTGACTCTGAGCTGTTGCTTGTGGTCGAAATTCCCAACGATGAAGCCCGAATTAATAAAGGCGCTTTCGAAGGTTGCGACACATTGGCCAAGTTGACCATCCCGGACTCTGTGACGCACATCGAGAATGATGCCTTTTGGGGTTGCAGCTCTTTGGTGGACTTGACCATCCCAAACTCTGTGACGCACATAGGGGATGATGCCTTTTACGGTTGCAGGTCTTTGGTGAACTTCACCATCCCAAACTCAGTGACCCACATTCAGTCTGCTGCGTTTGCTGGTTGCAGCTCTTTGGTAGACTTGACCATCCCGGACTCGGTGATCCACATTGGTGATCGTGCCTTTCTGTTTTGCAGCTCCTTGGCAAACTTGACCATCTCAAACTCTGTGACGCACATAGGGGATGATGCCTTTCACGGTTGCCGCTCTTTGGTGAACTTGACCATCCCAAACTCTGTGACCCACATTGGGAACGATGCGTTTCAAGGTTGCATCTCTTTGGTGAACTTGATCATCCCGGACTCGGTGACCCACATTGGGGATCGGGCCTTTGCATATTGCATCTCTTTGGTGAACTTGATCATCCCAAACTCTGTGACGCACATAGGGAAAGGTGTCTTTCATGAGTGCATCTCTTCGAAGTCCAGTCGGCGTCGCCTGACCGGTGCCGCGTCGCGGCACGTCGGACGTGGCGAAGGTCGGGCGACGGAACGTCCGGTGGAAAATCACCGTCGCGGCGGGCGAGTCATCAGGGAGAGCCTCTCAAGTTCGAAGCCCTTCCCAGCCGACCTTCCGTACCATTAAAACACAGGCGTTTTCTTTTCTTTCTCGCTGGTTTTTGGAGTGTCAAATCCTTCGTTGCTTCGGTCCTGAGGCCTATTACCGTTCCGGTGTCCGGTTGGACCGGAACAGTGGAAGAACATGAACTGCAGCCCCAAACAGAAGTTAGTATGTATTTCCACCCACTAGGAGTTCAGGGGGGTAGTTCAATAAAGCTATAGGCAGGATGCAAACTGGACTTTGGATTTTAAGTCAAACCCTTGGACTCGCAGAGTCAGATCCTGTAGCCATTTTGCACGGCGCGTTTTGAAAACGAATCTGTTAAGGTCAGCCCACCTCCGCTCAAGAGTCACTTCGCCTCTCGTGCTCCGAGAAAGTCTGAGAAAGAACTTGACCCCAAACTCCAGGAGGATCGCTCCAAAACTGCCCAGCCTGCCCAGCCTACTCTTCCAGTTGCCTCTACAGCAGACAGCTTGAAGAGGTTCTTGAGATGGGCGTCCATAAACCACAGAAAACTTGGGATTTGTGCCATCTACTCTGAAACCATTGTAAAACCTTTAAAACGTTCCTCGCCTTGTCACCCACCGCCTCACCGAGTCTCGCACCAGGGCGGTGAACCCGAACCCGTGGGGCCAATGGACGCATGAATCGCGAGGTACCTATTTAAAAACGCCTCCCCAATTTTCAAAAATGAAACACCATGTCCGAAACCTTCAATGCGGTTTACATGTGTTTTTACATTACCGCCCTTTCAAACCGCTACTAAACTACCAACATGGGCGATTTTTGGGGTAGTGTTTTTTCCCCAACAGCAGCATGCTTTGGGGTCTTCAGCCATAGTAAAGGTTTCGGAGCAAGCCGGAGCAGCTCCCAAAGACATTCCCCCAGGTTCCCACAAGGTTCCAAGGTTCCCGCCAGGTTCCCACAAGGTTCCCAAGGTTCCATGCAAGGTTCCTGCATGGTTCCTGCAAGGTTCCCAAGGTTCCCACAACTTTGTTCCACAAGGTTCCCCCAAGGTTCCCACAGCTTTGCTCCAACGTTCCCACAAGGTTCCCACAGTTTTGTTCCACAAGGTTCCCACAACTTTGTTCCACAAGGTTCCCACAACTTTGCCCCACAAGGTTCCCGCCAGGTTCCCACAAGGTTCCCAAGGTTCCTGCAAGGCTCCCAAAGTTCCCAATTTTCCCACAACTTTGTTCCACAAGGTTCCCCCAAGGTTCCCACAGCTTTGCTCCAACGTTCCTACGAGGTTCCCACAATTTTGTTCCACAAGGTTCCCACAACTTTGTTCCACAAGGTTCCCACAACTTTGCCCAACAAGGTTCCCCCAAGGTTCGCAAGGCTCCCACAGCTTTGCTCCAAGGTTCCCACAAGGTTCCCACAACTTTGCCCCACAAGGTTCCCCCAAGGCTCCCACAAGTTTGCTCCAAGGTTCCCACAGCTTTGCTCCAAGGTTGCCCCAAGGTTCCCACAGCTTTGCTCCAATGTTCCCACAAGCTTCCCACAACTTTGCTGCAAGGTTCCCAGAAGCTTCCCACAACTTTGCCCACTTTGCTTCAAGGTTCCCACAAGGGACCAAAGGTTCCCACAGCTTTGCTCCAAGGTTGCCACAAAGTTCCCACAGCTTTGCCCCAAGGTTCCCACAACTTTGCCCCACAAGTTTCCCAAGGTTCCCACAAGATTGCTCCGAGGTTCCCACAACTTTGTTGCAAGGCACCCCCTAAGGTTCCCCCACAAGGTTCCCCCAAGGTTCCCACAATGTTGCTTCACAAGTTTCCAACAAAGCACACCCAAGGTTCCCACAACTTTGCTCCAAGGTTGCCCCAAGGTTCCCACAGCTTTGCTCCAAGGTTCGCGCAAGGTTCCCACAACTTTGCTGCAAGGTTCCCAGAAGCTTCCCACAACTTTGCCCATTTTGCTTCAAGGTTCCCACAAGGGACCAAAGGTTCCCACAGCTTTGCTCCGCCCCAAGGCCAAGGTTCCCACAGCTTTGCTCCAAGGTTCCCACAAGGTTTAGGTTCCACAAGGGACCAATGCTCCAAGGTTGCCCCAAGGTGCTCCAAGGTTCCCACAACTTTGTCCACTTTGCTTCAAGGTTCCTACAAGGTTCCCACAACTTTTTTGCAAGATAAGGTTCCCACAACTTTGCCCGACAAGGCTCTGAAGGTGCCCACAACATCATTCCACAACTTTGCCCCACAAGGTTCTTCCAAGGTTCCCACAGCTTTGCCCCAAGGTTCCCACGAGGTTCCCACGACGTGGCCCCGAGGTTCCCACAAGGTTGGTGCAAGTTTCCCACAAGGTTCCCGCAAGGTTCCTAATCGACAGTCAAGGAAACGTCATCATCAAGTCTATTTCATTGTGCTTCCTACTGTTACCTTTTACCTTGCTAACCTTTTGGTATCCTATCCTCTTAGTTTCCTCCTGTTCTTCATTCGGGCCCCGAATCCGCTTTCGGGCCCCGAATCCAGTTTCGGGGCCCGAATCCACAGTCAAGGACACCTCATGATATTTCAAGTCTATTTCATTGTGCTTTTCCTACTGTTACCTTTTGCCTTGCTAACCTTTTAGTATCCTATCCGAATCCTTTTAGTTTCCTCCTGTTCTCCAATCGGGCCCCGAATCCGGTTTCGGGCCCCGAATCCACTTTCGGGCCAGTCAAGGACACCTCATCATACCTCAATTGTATTTCATTGTGCTTCCTACTGTGACCTTTTACCTTGCTTACCTTTTAGTATCCTATCCTCTTAGTTTCCTCCTGTTCTCCATTCGGGCTCCGAATCCGCTTTCGGGCCCCGAATCCGGTTTCGGGCCCCGAATCCGGTTTCGGAGCCCCAATCCACAGTCAAGGCAACCTCATCATACCTCAAGTCTATTCAATTGTGGTTCCTTCTCTTAACTTCCTAACCTTCTAGTATTCTATTCTTAGTTTCCTCCTATTCTCCATTCGGGCCCCGAATCCGGTTTCGGGGCCCGAATCGACAGTCAAGGAAACCTCATCATACCTCAAGTCTATTTCATTGTGCTTCCTACTGTTACCTTTTGCCTTGCCAACCATTTAGTATCCTATCCTCTTAGTTTACCTTGCTAACCTGAAGAAAAAGTGTTGCATTTTGCGCTTAAGCTGTTGGGTATATTCTTTGGGCTTATTTTGTGGGTATTAGGTTCCAAAAACACTCGTAACTGCCCACCTCTATCCACCATGACACACCGCGTGGCACACCGACATCACCTTTCGAAAATTTTAGTTGTTGGTCTAATGAAGAATCAGTATTCCAATAACGGTTTTTGTAGGGGAAAGGAAGACCCTTCGATCTGGAGGTTTTTTGAATTTTTGATACGCGTTCAATAGAGGATTTTATAAACATGTTCCTGGGTGACGTTTTGGTTTTGAAGTTCTTCCCACGTGACCCTATTTTGGGCCCCCCGATTTCAGGGACCCCCTATTTAAAAAAATGCGACCGAGTTTTTCTTCATAGGGGGAGGGGGGGGACCGTGTTTTTTAATTAATAGGTGGACAAAATGAAATCAATCACCGGACGCCACGTCCCAGGTGATCATCGCCAGGGACGTGGCGCGGGTCTTTCCGTCACATCATGGCATCCACCATGTGCGCCTGGAGATTGCGGAGGTCCTGCGCGCCTACGCGCGACAGGTGCGGTTCACGACGGTCCCGGTGAGTCGATCTTGCGGGGGGAGAAGACGATCCGGTCGTGGTGGAAACATGAAGCATGGTGGTGAGAGGGGGTTTGCGTCGACGCTACAGTCGATTTTTCATGTATCTTTGTTTTCTTGGTGCAGGTGGAGTTGAATGGAGAAATTCCATGACAATCCTCGGCTACGGCCGGAGTTGATGATGGTTTGGAACAGTTTGGAACAACCAGATCGAGTTGGAATTTAGCTGAATTGGAAGGAACTAGTTCGCGGAAGCAACGCAAGCCAGAGGTTCCATGTCGAGGTCCATTTAAAAAAAAAAACAACAACATGGAGGAGTGATGGGAAAATTCGTCCAACATCTCCTGCACCCCCTATGTACAGGGTGTCCATTCATGACTCAGGACCCAGCAGGTCCCCATTGACCACCCCTTGTGGTGCATGTAATTCACCTGCCCAGCACAGCTGCTTCGGTGCGCGGAGGACCCTGATCTGGGCTACACTCAGGGCATGTGCTTCCTGGACTGATTAGGTCGTCATTTCCACCCAAACCAGGGGTATCTCCTAACTAGTTGAGGCAGCTCATGTGCTGGAAATGCTCACATGTTCAGCAACATCATGCAACATCAACTCAACGGTCACAGAGACACATCAACGGTCCCATTTGCGCCTCCGTCCGCTTCTCTACTTGCTCCTGCGATCAAGGCTTCGCTGCAGGCGTGGTGTGTTTGAAGTCTGGTGCCTCCTTAGAGGAGAAAGTGCAACGCTTCTCAGAGCTGATGAAAGATCTGAGTGCCTTAACGCAGCGCGAGTTTTTTCTCGCGCACAAGGCTTTTGGTCTCAAAAGTGTGCACACAAAAAGTATTTCTCTTCCCCCGGCCAAAAAGCAAGAGACACAACACTGGGCACATTGTTAAACATAGTTGCTGGGTCTTGTTTGGGGGAGTTTCTTGGTGTTTTGTTGGAGGTTTGGAGGTAGAGGTGCCATGGTATGAGACCTCCAAGTATGCAGGTGTCTTCAATGCCTTAGCACTGGTTGATGATGTCCGTTGACATATCATTCTGCGGTTGCTGTATGTTGCAGTGCCAACCAAGGAGACCTCTGGATGCCAGGCTTCCCGTTGGTGGAACAAGGACTGCAGGAAAAACGCCCGGTGGGGCCCTTTTCAACCCATGGGTCTTCGGATGTTTTATGGCAATATGATCATCAAGGCTCAGGGCCCATCAAGGCTCAGGGGCTGTGGATGAATCTGCGGCCTTCATGGACAAAGGCTCATGTGGGAAGATCCTCATGGACAAGCCTTGGGGTTACACTACACGACACGCCTCCCTTCGTTCTCTCGGATGCCATGGTGCATGACCCGCTGACTGCAAGAAGTTTGAGTGTGTATATGGCATGTTATATGATGTTATACCCCTAGGCTTCCAACAACCATTAATTCAATAGGATTTACCGAATCAACTAAGGATTTTACACTGCAAAAACCCGGCCGGCCATTCTTTTAATAGTCTCAAGATTTAAAAAAAGGGCGGGGGATATGCATATAATATATACTCGATCTTATTTGACATTCCCAAACATCAGGCAACACAGGACCGTAGCCAGAAGGGTTGCCTTCCAGCTCGCAGGAGTGCCAGCCTTGGAATCGATGTTGGCCAGCAAGGATCCTGAGCTCTTGCACCATTTGTACCACAACGTGAAGCTGGACAGTCGAGTTCGGTGCCGAACGGGACGGAACCGCAGGAGTCAGCTTAGTTTTGGAATAGGCGGACAGCTCAAGTGGTTCCAACATACGGACTTCCCTCGTTTCTGCTGGCAGTTTGTTGGGCATGGCGTTTGAAAGGGCTTTGGTTGATCCTAGGGATGCACGGCGAGGCATATATGAACATATTCTTGCATGTGATGTGTGTGACAGACGTGGTTGATGGGTGACTGAGACCTGCCGCACTTGTGTGACAGACGCGAGTGAGACTTGACGGGTGTTCGAGGCAGTGGCAGAATGGGAATGGTTTCGAGGTTGTTGCCGTGAAAGCGGCTGACCAGTGGGATAGAAATGGATGCTTGACCAGTGGCAGCTATGGTTGGCATTTTTTTACTGGATTTCGGGGGGACATTTTTCTACAAGAGTGCGCAGAAGGAAAAGGAAAAGAGAAAAGGGAAGGCAAGGCAAGGAAGGAAAGAAGCAAGGAAGCAAGTGTCGGATGACATAAGCGCCTGACACAACCTGAGGGCTTTGAAGCACTGCATCTATATCAGCGTGCCCACAGCAACGAGAAGAACAGAAAACAATCACTTGTGCTTGCTGACCGACTCAGTCCTTAGCCTTAGTCCTTCCTAAGGTCCTAAAGCCAAACCAAACAAAAACGATTTTGTGGCAGACCCCGCCGCGAGTCACTCCTTGTGGATGTTTGTCTTTGTTTCGCCTCCGGTGTAGACGCATTTCGCTTCCAGGAATGCCCGCTCCACGTCCCGTCTTGCAGTCTCCCCAGGGAGACGCGGCACCCTTCCCCGAACCCCTCCAGCTTTGAACCAAGCCAAGCCAGAACCAATCCCAAACCAGACCACAACCCAAGCCTCCCAACCCCAGTCGAAAGCTGAACAAACAACAAACCAAAACCGACCAAACCCAAGCCATTTGACGAGGGGACCCCGCTCATCCCAACCCCTCCAGCCTTCAACCAACCCAAGGCTTATATAACCAACCACACACAAACTTGCGGACTGTCCATCGCGCGCCTCACGGTCCTTCCCTATGGGGGTGCCAGAGGTTTGTAGATGAGAAACAATGTAAGTAGACACTGTACAAAAGATAAGCCATGTAGACTATATAATTACAAATACAACGGGACAGAACATGCAGGATTTGTTTGGAGCATTGAATTTAAAGGCAGCAAGATCAAATTTGCTCGAGGATTTTTTGCCAACGAGCATATATAATCAACCCAAAATGACACTTTCAAATAGTCCTCCTCCTTACGCAGGAGCACTTTTTGATCAAATCCCCCGAAAATCTCGCCAATACCAACCCAAAGCAACCAGATACTCTTGCTACACCATATCAACGCCCTGGCCCTGCCATGCAGAAAAGTCAGCTCGTCAGAAGAAGTCCTGACCAATCCTGGACCCACCCTCTGAGATCTTGCTCGTGTAGACACCTCCGCGGCCGGACACTCCAAGCCCTGCGAAGGACCTGGGGATGGTGGTGCCAGGAGCTTGGTTGTCCATCTTCGGAAAGTGGCTGCCGGTGGAGGTCTTGGAAGAGTTGGTGCCCTTCCTGCAACACCAGGGGCTTCCAGGCTTTGCCTCTCGGCTGGAGGAGAGAGGAGAAACACATGAAGGCTATGCAAATATATGCATGAAGGAGTGCATGAAGGGTATGGAAGAGATGGAGAGGCAAATGATCTTGCCTGCTTCCATGATACATATATATTAGATGTTTAGGAGTATAGTACCTTCAAGAATCTTGCACACAAATGATGGTGGAGAGCGGTAGTATGGCCTCTCCACTGAGATGGCTGTATCATGAAAGCGGAAGACACGGCCGCTGCATGGCGCTCTCGCGACCGTCCGTGCGTTCGGTAGACCTGCTCGTCTCAAGAGTCCTCAGGTGGTGGTGACCTTCCTCATCCTGCTGGCCCATCGCGACAAGCTCCTGGCGTCTCGACCGGACCGGACCGGACGTGGCTCGAGCCACGCCCGAAGCGATTGAGAACGGTGTCCGGAAGGCGGCCAAACCCACTGTCAGCGCTGGGTGCGTTTGTGCGCTTCGACCAAAAAACACTTATATATACAATGTTCTTATATATATATATATCAAGATGAAAGTAGCTAAGTAGCTCAATCGACCTTCCAACTCCTAATAGTTAAATTACGGAGAGCAAGAATAATACTGTAAAAGAACAGGACCAACGTTGAATGAATCCCCTATCTCCTGGTCGTGGTCCCTAGTTCGATCTAGTTCGCCCCGGGTCCCCTGGTCCAGTGCTCGCCTGTTTGGGTCCCTTTCCGCTGGTTTGGTGGTCGCCGACATTGGTTTCTGTCCGCTGCTTCCAATGTATTCAGTGATTCCGTCCATATGAAATATAATATATAATCATCCTGGAGTAGATAGAATGGACGAATTTTCACCTCAAAACCGGCCCTTCCAAGCCCCATAGATAGAATATCGTTGTAGGGGCTTCTCTTCCTTTTCCTTTGTTGTCCTTTTCCTTCTCTGTTTGTTCTATTTTCTGTTCGTTCTAAAGGAAAGCTTAGATAAGACACATAGGAACAGAACATGAAAATAACAAAGGAGCAAATACCGGAATGGGAGGAGTTGATAAGAATCTTATCACTATATTCTATCTTATAGGGTCAGTCTTCATAAAATGAAAGGGATGTCAAAAAACCAGAGTTTTTTCAAAAAGAAAAACACACCCTACGAAAGTAGATTCTATCTACTCCAGGATGATTATATATATATATACCCAGACGCTCCATGGGTTTGCCATATTTGCCGTGTATCAGGACACATGGTGTTTTGCACAATCGAAAAAGCATGAACATTGTTTGGGGATGTTTGGGGGGCTTCGCTCTGGGAGGGACACCCCTCCAGCACTAGGATGGGCGTTGCTTCTTCCGCATCGCGCGCGCCTGCCACGCAAAAAGCAGAATCTTTAGAATCTAGAAAGTCAATTGGGAGAGTCACTGCAGTCGTCCCGCATAATTACATCTGTTTGCATTTGCAGTCCATGCCTGACAGGAGCACGCCAGATTGAATGGAACGATGATTTCTGTTTGAATGTGCCTGTGAAGTAAAGAGGGGCTGCAGTCTTTTTCGAAGCAGGATGGATAGTCGCGCAGCTGAATTGTGTTGTGGCCACTTCTCTCAAGAGCTTCATACCTGCACTTGCATGATCTCTGGCAGGGCGGGTGATGGGTTCTCCTTAGTCAGCTTTTCCATGGAGTTTTCGGTTTCCGCCAATGGAATAGCTGCACGTTCTCCAGCTGCTCTTTTCACAGTCCGGCCGCCGCCTGGTTTGTTGGTCAAACGATCTTCTCCGTCTAAGCGCAGGCGTGACCATGCTCGGGCAAGTGCTCACTTGCGTTGGACGAAGGGGAAGCAGGATGATGACAAGCCACCAGGCCCCTCTAGTGCTTTCCAGGACGAAGCAGGCCCGATGGCGAAAGTCGAGCGAGCTGTTGAACACATTTTGCACAGCAGGCAAAGCCACTTCGGTGTCTATTCTCAGCACTGGTCGCAAGTGACCGCCCGTGAGGCACCCGATGGAAGGCAGCGAGACATTTTTCCAATCGGCCTAGTGCATGCGTGGAGTTTCGACTTGAAAACCATGGGGGCACCCACGGGTCTACATCTTTTGTTGCTCAATGCGTGCATTGCCTCCCTCAATTTTTTGGCTTTCGATTATAAACACCGACGGCTTTTTGGAACAAGGGGTTGCAAGCATACCAAACAACAGATGGAAGTCATACGGCATGTTGCCGACCGAGTCGCGATGTTTTTGTGAAAATTAGATGTTTTTCTACAAAGCGATGGCAGTGCTGCCTTAGATGCTTTTCGCAACTTTGAAGTTTCGCCAGGTAGTCAGTACCCCCAGCTCAACGCAGATGCGGTTGATTTGCCTTCCTCAGCAGGCACCTGCAATCCCAACCTTCTCATTCCGGAAGGCCTTGCGACGGCCACATCCTCTCCTGAGTTCCTTTTTCATCATGAGGGCGGCGCTGAGACGGTTGAAAGTTTCCGTCCTGCCGGGAAGGAAAGACTGGAATACATAAAGTTGGTTTGGCGACAGTTGCAGCGCGGCAAAACAATGCTCCGCCGTGTGGTGCATGCCGTGGGGGAAGTTTTTGCAGTAGCCAAGAGCCATGGGCGCCAACGAGAAATCTGGAACGGTTCCTTGTTTTCCAGCATGGCGGAACGCCCTCCAGCACCACAATACCTTGCAAATCCTGCTTGCTTTGTCGATCTGTTTTTTGAACAGGGCAAAGAAGTTTTTATGTCAAAGCGCGATGTCCACACTTGCTTTGACGTGCTAGAGGCGCCGCCTGCTTTGCAACCTTGGTTTGGACTTCCCCCAGTGACACTGCACGAGGTGTCTCAAGTGGCAGGCATCCCAACAACAGAACTGCTCCTTTATGTTGCAGATTGCAGCAGTGAGAGAGTATGTAAGCATGATTTGCTGTATCCGGCTAGTACGGTGTGGCCAATGGGGTTCAGTTGGTCTTCCTGCGTGGCACAGGCAGCCACAGTGGCTTGCTGCCTGCAGGCAGGGGTTGAGAAAGACGCTTTCATGACTATGGATCTGCCGCCCCCTAATGGGCCGGAAGCTTGCGGAGTGGCCACAGATGATACTTTCTTTATTCATTTTGACCGTGAGATGGGCCAGCGACGGCTTGACATGCTTGACACCGTCATGGCCCAGCATGGCATGCCAAAGAATGAAGCGAAGGATGTGTCCCTACAGGCGTCCATGACAGCTTTGGGGTGCGTGATCGACAGCAAGTCAGGCACTGTGGAACCTGCGCCTGGCAAACTATGTAGCCTTTTCTTAGCTTGGATTGATGTATTGACAAAGGGTTGCGCCACCCCAGTTGGAATCAATCGAGCCTTAGGCCTGCATCAATGGTTTTGTCTCCTGCAGCGCCCGCTTTTCAGTGTGTTTGATTCAGTCTACAGTTTTGTGCGTCAGCCGCCTGATAATATCCAAGTTGAGCTGCCGGTTGATGTGCGCACAGAAGTTGCAGTTGCCACTTTCTTAGTTCCCCTGCTTGGCGCTGACCTGCGCCGCCGCTTTCTCCCACAGCTTACGGCCTGCGATGCAGCCCCAGATTTTGGTTTCGGTGTTGCTTACATGAGGTGCTCGGAAGCTGTTGCTGCTGAAGTCGGCAGTCTGGCCGAGCGGCGAGGTGACTTTGTCAAGTTCTATCCTGAACCAGGGGAAACGTACAAAGACCGCTTGGGTACGCCGCGTGAGCTGCCTTTTTCAAAGCGGCAATTCAAAACGGCGATTTCAACCAAGGCAATATTCAAAGCACATTCAGGCGCTTTGGAGGCACACGGGCTGCTTCTCACGCTAAAGTGGTTGCTGCGGTCCACCGCGCGGTTCAACCACCGGTTGGTCATACTGGTGGATGCGAAAGCGGTTCTTGGTGCGGCTACAGTGATGGGCCCCTCAACTTAAAGAAGTTATAACTATGTTACCAGAGTTATAAATGAGTTATAAGCAAGTTATTGGACTTAGGTATTAGGAAGTTATAACTAAGTTGTAAGTAAGTTATAACTTCTGTAACTTGTTAGTTGCTACGCAAAAATGGTTTTCAATTGTTTTCAAAAAACCTGTAATTGTTGGCTCCAGAACTGGTATTTGTAGTTTTTTTGGTATGGAAGAACACATTTCCAGGCCCCACAGCCCACATAGACGCGCGCAATTTTCTAGCATGGGTTACAATAGATTTGGTTTGTTGTTCTTTTTCTTCGAGGTGGTCCTCGGTCTTTTTTTTGAGCGAGGTTGTCCTCGCCATTTGTTCTAGTCGATGCGCGCGATATCAATGTTGATTGTGACAGTATGTTTAAAACGCACACTCGCATGAATATATGTGAAACTTTGGGCGGGCGACCGCCAACATGCTTGTGACAAATGTCTATACCGATGATCATGTGTTTCAAAGTGTGACAAGAACGGAAGACTGTTTCGTTTTGTCTTTATAAAAGTCTACGTTCATGTGTGACAATCCAGCGGGCTACCGCTGCGTAAAGAGCGCGCGCTTTGTCACACCAAACACAAAACAGCGAGCGCGTCCACGTGCCACCAAACAGGCTGACGGAGCATCAACAAATCTTTCATGTTGATAGACTCTCTGCGGTCTGTGCGAACGAAAGACCGAGTGAACAGAGTGCTGGATGCAGTTTCTTGCAGTGGTTCCAAGATGCAAAATACAGTGTCCTGTTCCTCAGCAAAGAGATGAACCCAAGCTGCGCGCGCATCAAAGAAAATGATGTCATCCGACTGCAACAACATTTGTTGTAGATGGAAGGCATTGCTGACGCGCACACGTTTCAAACCTGTAGCCTCTTCGACTTTCTGAGGGCTGTGAATGTTTCCTGCAAGTCGGTTGGTCCATGGATGTTCCTGCATATTCCACGCTTGGCGATGGAGCAGCCTCGGTAGAATGTGCTTGCTCGACTTTCCAGAACGAGCTTCAAACAAACCAGCCATATCGTCAGCAAGGCAAGCTTTGTAAGCTTTGTGTCTGGACTCGCAGGGCCAGCAATCAGCGTATCCGAGGCAGGCATATTGCTGTGGGAGGTGAAGCCTAAAGTGATGCTTGGGTCTTTCTTGTCCCTCGTAATGCCTCATGAAAGCACGCTGGTGCTTTCTTTGGGCATGGTCCAGCCGGGCGCAATCCCCACGACCTCGCCGCCACTCCTTCAATTCCAGAACGGCTTCGTACAATGCGTTGAGTGATTCCAGAGCTGGCAGCTCTTCGACATTGGTTAGAAGGTTTGCGTAATGAACCAGGAGAGGCAAAGCAAAGTACGTCTGAGAGGCACTGCCCTTGTATAGGTCTCCTCTCCAATAGGTTGCGTTGAAGAGCCATGAGCGAGAGCTTGGAGACCGGAACGATCTCTCTCTGCAGACCCAAGCCACTTCGCGC